TGGGGAGAGATAAAGGGTTTGTCCCCTAATTTGGGCGTTGCATGACGGAACAGCAGCGTTGCCGCAGTTCCGTACCCGGGATGGTGAATCCAGTGTTGATTCTGTGCTACAGAGAAGCACAGCTGAACACTGAGTGGGGGGCACTAGAGGGGAGAGAGAAGCTGTAGATCCAGAGTCTGTTAGAAGTGTTCACTTCATCCTGCTCAGGGAAAATCAAGGATGAAGGATGACTTTCCAAAGCTTCTGGCATCATATGGAAGCAGTTCAGGTGGTGGGTGGGATGGTTCCTATCAGGCTGTGGTGATGGGACTGTAGCTACAGAGAGGCAATTTCCAGCCCTTTCTAATGGTCCAATTTACATATTAACCACTGAAAAGCATCCAGGAGCTTTGTATGTGTTATTATCCCTTAAAAAGGAATGGAAAGCTCAGGGTTCAAGGACAATAAAGAAGCTGCCTGGTTAGTGCAGTGTCCTGCGCTGAAGCAGCAGCTGGTGTTGGAGCCTAGCAGAAGGCACTGGAATTGTCTCAGCATGTTGCTGTGCAGCTGCCTCAGCCTTGGGGAAGCTTCTGTTGCTTGTTCCTGGTTGCCCATCTTGGATTTTGAGGCATGTGGATCGACTGGTTTTGCACTTATCTGCTGAAATAATTTGGAATATCCTGTTTGTGTCTGCTCTTATTTTCTTTCTGCTTTCTGATCCTGTTGGGATTTGCCATAAGTAACATCTGTAGCTTGTGAAGCTCCACTGGTGTGTTGTGATGAGGTGTCATCCCCAGGTGACTGAGGGTTTATCTAATTGCACTGTGAGGTGGCAGGAAGGTGCCCTCTCTGTGCCCTCCTTGGAATCCAGACTGGTTTGGGTTGGAAGGGTCCTTAAGGCTCATCTTGTTCCACCCCCCTGCCATGGGCAGGGACACCTTCCACTATCCCAGGTTGCTCCAAGCCCTGTCCAAGCTGGCCTTGAACACTTGAAGAGATGAGGCTGCCACAGCTTCTTTGAGTAATCTGTGCCTCACTACACTCACAGGGAAGGCTTTCTTACTAATATCCAATCTAAATTTCTCCTCTTTTATTTTCTTCTATCACTAGTTGCCTGTGTCCCTATCAATAGCCTGTCTGGCCATTGCTACTCCCCCAGACTTAGACTCCTCTGTTCTCTCTGCTTCTGACCTCGATTTCTCATCTTGGAATGCTGCATCCTTTCTCTGACACAATGTCCTGCACAGCTGGGAGGTCCTTTGTCCAGGCAGGGTCTGCTGTTCCTGCTTTTGGCACAAAATTCACAACTACATTGAGAGAAAGATACTGATCACGTCTGTGATGGAATCGTGTTGGTATTTTAAAGCTAATTTGGATTAGAGTGAGGTGTGAAGTTATTCCAAAATACCTACTGTGCTTGCTGTTGGATCAGTCTTATTCTGGGATAGGAATGCTTGTTCCAATTTAGCTTAATCCTTTTTCAAAGCTAACTAATCTAAACCATGCCAAGGCACTCTTCTGGAACGTGCCAAAGTGTAGTTACTCAAAAGAAACCTGACATCCAGAGGAACCCACTGCCTATTCCTCTCTGTGGATATGGCTCTGCTGCTCTGGAGGCACGTTTAGCTCAGTGAGAGAGCAGACCTAGAAAGAAAATAAAGGTTTTAATCAGGTAGTTGCTTTATAAAAGGAATTTGAGGTGGTTTTGATAGTGAGAAGAGCAGATCCTCCTTTCCTGCCCCAGCAGCTCCGTGAACCAGGTGAAAGCTGATCCTGCAGAACGGGGGTGAGGGTTCCCCAGCTGGCTGGGGACACCTATGTCGACACAGGAGGTGATGGATGTGGGGGAGAGCAGGGTCAGGCTTTAAATCCACGGCGGAGCTGTGTAGGGTTACAGTGTGCCCGCAGTCATGCTCAGGGAAATGCACACAGTGCCTGCTAATTAGGGGAATGGCCTTATTAATGAGAAGAAATTTCCTGAGCGCACTTCAGGTGGATGAGTGCCACAGCAGAGAGAAAGAATTTTGGGTTGAGATGAATGTGGTTGTGGTGTCAGAATCCTGCCCAGGTGTTTTAAAACGCCTGCAGGGAGTGGGCAGCGGGGGTCAGGCTGTGCCCACCCGAGCCTGTGGGGATTTCAGGAGCCTTGTGGTGGCACATTGGAGTGATAAATCACTGGAAAGTTCCTGGCTGACGGGAACTGAGTCGGTGGGTGGAGGAGGGAGATGCCTTTCAGTGAACTGCTGCTTCACTGTCAATCCTGTGCTGGGCAGGACTTGGAGGATACCTAGGGATTTGAAAAGTGGATACCATGACTTCATCTGACTGAAATGGACCCTCTGGAGTTCAGTCACAATAACTTTTACCTCCCTGTTGTCTATTTCAAAAACCTTGGAGTATGAACCTGAGGCATTGATACAATCCCTTTCTTTTCCTGACTATTCTCTTCTGTCTGGGATGGAGGGAAGGGAAGAGAGAAGGGGTCAGCAATGAGGTCAGTGATGAGAGTGCTGACACTATGGGAGAATAAGGACCTTACACAGTAAAAAAGCTGGGAACCACAGCAGTGTAGCAGTGGGCACAAGTAGCTGTGAAACATGATGCCCAGAGCTCTGACTTGGTGAACTGACTGGGGAGGGTGAGGGGAGAATGCAGATGACGCATTTGATTTTTAAAAAAAGTGGAACGTGTTGACAGAAACTCTATCTTGATTAAGGGCAGTAGGAAAGCATTTGATTCCAGCCATGTCTCCAGCTCAGTTACAGTTGGTTTTGGCTCTGATTCTTCTGTTTGCCTTCTTTGGGCCTTACCTTGACATCTTCACAGCCGTGTAGCTGGTGCTTCTCTAGTGACATTCTTCCCTTTGACTATCATAGTTCTGCTCAGAGGAGCTGAAGGTTTCTCAGTGCAGCCATCCTCAGGTTGTGACCAGCCGTGGTACCCCCTAAACACTACATTTCCTTATTCATGGAGCACACACCATCTGGGTTGAACCATGTGTGGTCTGCCTAGACAGATGGTTTAGGGCTGAGGCTGCCTGGATTAGGAATACGCTGCTTTGGAGTTGCTTGGGCTCATAAAAGCAAAGTTCAGGTGATTTCCTCGGGGAGGGTTTTATAACATCCTCGTGGGCTTTGCCTCGCAGCTGTGCGAGGCACCGCGAAAGCACCTTTGCAAAAAGGTTTTGATGTAATTTCAGGGTTTATAACTTTGTCGCTGGCTTTGTTCCTGTTCCGTTGAGTTTAATATCACCTGTTGACACAGGGACTCCTCTTGCTGTCAGTGCTCCGTTAATTAACTGCAGGGACTGTTTGACATGGTCACAGTGTTCGGTTTGTTTATAGCCTGGCCAGCCTTGGGCTAGTGCTGTGGAATGCAGGAGGGCCTGACACTGCCCTCCTTCTGAATTTTTGCCCAGTAACAATGCTCTACAGAGCCATTTTCCTGCTTTGAAAATCAATTTACTCTCTAGAAGAGCACCTTTGTGTCATTAGTTCTTGTTTGTAGCTCTTCAGAGGGAGAAAGGCTGTGCTTTGCAGTGCTCTGGAGTGAAGCTCATCAGTTTTGTAAATCCTGTAAGGGTAAGAACTCTTCTTTGTGCAGTGGTGAGGAAAGGAAGTGCAAATCAGTTGCTCTCTGGAAAAGACTTGTACTTTACTTTGTCTTAAAAATACAGTTCTAGCACCTACAGGTACAAAGAAAACCCTCAAAACTTGATCTTCCTGATAGTTTTGAACCTGCAAATGTCAACAATGGTGAGGTCTCCTTAGCTTTACCAATCAGCAGTAGAATAAACCCCTGCATTGCTCAAGAGGCATTCTGCCCAAAGGTGTGAAGTGCAAGAAAGGGGGTTGTACCAAAGGCTGTCCCAGTGCCTTTCCCTAGAAACCTTGAGGAGGAAGAGAGATGGGGGATGATTCCACTGACACCCTGTTGTTGTCTAAAGAACTGTAGTGGTGCAGGCAGAGGACTCGTGGGGACAGTGTGACAGCAAAGATGGCTAGATCAGAATCCCGCTATTCCTTTGACGTCCCAAACACCTGCATCAACTTTGCAACTCTGGGTGAGGATGATGCTGATGTACACAACGCAGACTCCTGGTTTGGTAAGTTGTTTCCAACTCCTTGATTTGTTTTCTCATTGGATGAGGCCTCGGTGTTATCCTTGGTTTGGGTGTGGCTTCTGTGCCAATTGGTTATTCATGTTTTTAGCTGCATCATCCATTATGCATGGGGGTTTTTTTGTTGTTTTGTGTTTTTTTTAATTTAAACTTTAATGTCTGTAACTTGACAGGTGACTTCGTTAACCTCATAATGATATTCTGATGTATTGTTAAAAATTCCTAACATACTATGTATAGTGAATATCTTTTTCTCCTGACAGACCAAAAAGCCAATATGGAGAATATCCCTCCTGCAGAAAATGTGGCGAAGGTCTCACAGAACAGCCCTGCTTATACAAAGCCTGATGTTCTCTCTGCCTTCACATCACAAGGAGTAGCAATGAGTAAGTTGGCATAGTATGGGGGGCAGGGAATTTAATTTTACCTGCTTTTCACTGGCAAAATGGAAAGGCCTCTGTCTGGCTTTTCTGGGACCATCTTCATAAACTGTTGTCTGCAAGGTCTCACATGGTTTTAATTTGAGATGTTCTTTATATGTGTATATGGATGAGCTGACACTTGTCCCCCTTCTCAGGTGAAAGCAATGGTGAAGAAGAGGGTGCACAGACCCACGCGGTCTCTCAGAACATCATTGGGTCCCTGGAGACCTGGAGAGCTGCTGCCCCTGCAGAGGCCCCTCAGAGGTGAAATTCTTGTGTTCAGTTTGCAAAATGATTGATAATGGTGTAACTAACTAGGTCTCTGTTCTCAGGATCTGCAGTTCTAGCTGTTCTTGGGTCATCCTGTGGGGCTGGAGTTCTCCAGCATGGAGATTGTGTACTGGGACAGCTGATCTGCTGGCTAAGCTGGAGGGACAGTCTCTAGGGTGGAAATGTAATGCAGTGTCTCACATACTTGTCAAATGAGACTTGGTAGCACCAGGAGCTTCTGGAATGTGAGGACATCTGAAACTGAGGTGGCTTATAAAGTTTCTTTGTTTATATCTGTCTGACTTGGGCAGAACTCGTTCTTCATATGAATGCAAGGGGCTCTGTATGCTTGCATATACCGAAGAATACTAAGTTTATGGATTGCTAAACTTTAATAAATCGTGCTGCATTTGGATTGTTGTTTTAAATGCAATTTGCATGGTGGGAATGGTGGAATTAGGTGGTGCACTGACATAAAAAGTGTTATCCAGGTCGTGTGTCTCCTCAGATCTGTGGGAAAGCTGACCCCTGTTTTCTGTTCTACTCTAGAACGAGCAAGAGACCAGCTGCAAAGCCAAGAAAAACCCATCAGCGCAAGCAGCCGGGGAGAATCAAAGCAGAGAGAATTGCTAATGCCCTGGATAATAAGGAAGAGGTTCCACCTCTGAAGAAAATGAGAATGTACGCCATCAAAGTTCTTCTGTTTGAGGCTGGGAAGGGGGTAACAACTGTTCCTTTGGAAAGGATTTCCAGTTGGCTGAGAGGGTTCTCACACAAAGGTTAGGGGGTGATGACTGGAACTGATTCCTGATACTGGTTTCATAAACAAGAAATGGCTGCAAGAGCTGAAGGAATTGCTCTGTTTGGAAGTAGAGATGTGAATGAAATGAGCGTGGGTTTCTTCAGCTTCTTACTCCTTACTCAGTGTCAGTCAGTTAGTTTTAAATTTGTCTTAACTTATCCATCAGGAAGTCATCAGGCAGTTAGTCATAAGTTATGAAAGAGTCACAGCTCAAATATTTCTCAAATTAGCTTAACCACTAAGGTATCATATGGTGATAAGCTTGAGGTCAGGAAATTGAAGTGTGATCTTTGAAATGCTGCTGTACCACAGTACAGTACTCCTTCCTCTAGAAAAGTTCCAAAAACTCAGCAATTCATCTTCCCTTCTGCAACCTTAGATACCAGGGAAAACTGGACAGTCTGCCTGGGCCTATGGTGAGGTAAGGCCAGCCTGGCATACCTTAGACCTCGCCAGGTGTTGGGATGTTATACATGGTGGTGAGAACTGCAGGTGATCTTTCATTTAGAACACAGTTAATTGGAGTGGTTTGCTCTAACAAGTCGTTTTCTTAGTTCTGGCAGCAGAAAGGAGACGGAAGAATCCACAAAGGCAGAGCCCTCACAGGATCCTGACCTGTCCCCAGAGAGAGAGAAAAGCAAACCACTCATGCCCTCCACGCCAACAATGTTGAAGTACGTGGCTTTCTTGTGACTTGTCTGCTAATCACGGTTGATTTAGGTGACAGTCCTGGCTGAGTGTTTCCAGCTTCAACTTAGCATGTGATGGTATCACATTTAGTAAACACTAGGTTAAGGCAACAATATTAGGATGAAATGTACTTCACCAGCTGAACCTGTGCACTGGAAAGCTTTTGCTTTTCTTTTGAGGAACAAGTTGTTCTTGCTGGTGGATTGAGCATGCCCACAGCAAATGGCTCTGCAGAATAGCAGCTAGCTGTGAGATTTCTTGAGCAAACAAAATCCAAGCAGATCTTCTGAAGAGTATGATTTTATAACAAGGAATGCTCCTGCAGTGAGGTCAGAAATAAGCATGTTCCTTGCATTCATTTTCATGGCTAGGCTTCGCAAACGAAGATTTGGGAAGGCTCTATCCGCATTTGTTACAGATGTTCCTTGCACTAACATGCTAATAACCAGGGAAGCAGGAAGGAATATCTCAGTCTTTAATGTGCTTCTGCAGGAGGACCAAACCTTCTAGCAAGCTGAAGAGTACAGAGGAGCAGGAACTTGAAAAGATGCAGCAGTTGCAGCAGGAGGTTATGGAGCTGCGGAAGAAGAACGAGGAGTCTCTGAAAGCAGCTATTGCTGGAGCAGGTGGGCTCTGCCTGGATTGCAGATTGAAGCTGTACTGGGCTCAGCTGGAGAGTGCTGCACAGAGCTGTGCAAGTACCTCTGGAAACAAACATTCCAGACTTTGTGATAAATATTAGGAGGCTTTTAATGTAGATCAGCCTCTAAACTGCCTGGAAAAAAGTGTTTGGGTTTTGTCATGTTTTGAAGGGTTAAAGATGAGTTTTCTAAAAATTTGTCTAGTTATTAGATATTAAATGCTTTTTTTTTTTATCCCCACAAATCCTACACCCCCGCCCCACTCCAAAAGGCTTCCAATTCTTAAGTGTTCTTTTTCTTTAGGACAACCCATGAAGAGACCAGTTGGTCAAGTAACAAAGCCAATTGATTTCCACTTCTACACAGAGAATAGGATTAAACAGAACGTGGGAAGCCATCCTGAGAATGAGTACAAGGAGCTGGATTTTGCAGCAGTACTCAGGAAGCATCCCCCTTCTCCGGTGAGAGCCAGAGTGTTGTCAGCACTTGGCTGACTGATTCTTGACATCACCTCCTTGCTGCTTGTGCAACACCCATGCTGGTGACCCACAGAGGGGTTACCTCAGGAGGGGCAGGTGTTGTGCAAACCTAATTGAGAACTTGCCGTGTGTCTCGTTGCCACAAGACTCCAAAGAAATCTTGTGGAAAAAGGAGCTCTTTAATGTCAGATCTTCCAGTCATTCCACTTCATGCTTTAATCTTCTGCTTTGAACAGTTTCCCAATATGACTTGTGTGTGTTCAGAGTATTAACATTTATGCTTAATGTTAAAGTGTTACCTTCTTTTCAGTGAGGGGAAGGAAATGTTGTCGAAGCCTCTTGGCCATGGCCATACTGACTGTTTTCTTTCTCCAGATGCGAATGCCAAAGGGACCCACTGTCCCCAAACCTTTCAACCTGTCCCAGGGAAACAAAAGAAAACTTGAAACCACATCAGAGTACGTGTCCTTTGCTGAGCAGGTAGAAGCATTCCAAAAACGCACACCCTCTCGTTACCATTTGAGGAGCAGGAAACCTGAGGAAGAAGGTGAGTGGTCCTGCCTGTGTCCACAGAGATGGTGGTAGAACAACAGAGATGCTTTGACTGCTCTGAGCAAGCAGTCTGTGTCTGTTGTAGGCCTTGCCATTAACTGCTGGTCTCTGACTTGAATTTACAGGCCAAGTTTCAGGAAAGTCTGTGAAGCCTCAGCTCACCTGTGCCAAAACACCAGTGCTCCAAACAAAGCAGCGCTCGAGACCTGTCACCTGCAAAACTGCAGCAGAGTTAGAAGCAGAGGAATTAGAGAGAATTCAACAGTAAGTAAATGTTTACTCTAGTCCTCCAAGGGAGGAATGTACCACACTGGGAATATCTTTCAGATACCAAAATATCACTTCTCAGGAATACCCTTTGTGTAAAAGAATGAGTAGCATAAAACCATTGATATTCCTTTAGCTCATGCATGATTCCATGGCTCTGATTGTAGGGAAGTGAAAAGTAGCCAATTCATTTTGAAGAAAGTGCTCTTAGGAGAGCTGATCTTGAGTTCAGTACAGCTTATGATGAGTAAAGCAAACCCAGTATAGCAGTATACACCCTGCATGCGCTTCAAAACTCTCCTGGTGGCCAAAGGTTTGTATTTTTAGGAAAGCAATTCATGTTTTCCTTATTAATCTTGCTGTTTCAAAACCAAAGGAAGAGTTGCTAACTAGAGCTGCACAGCAATGTACAATGTATAGGTGACTGCCTCCATCTCTGCTGTGTAGGTACAAATTCAAAGCACGAGAACTCAATTACAAAATCTTTGAGGGTGGGCCACTCCTGCCCAAGAAGCCCCGTGTGAGGAATGTCACACAACCCATCGGCTTCGAGTTGGAAACAGAAAAAAGGATTCAGGAGCGTGAGAGTAAGAAGCGGCAGGAGGAAGAGCGCTTCGAATTCCATTCCAGGCCGTGTCCCACAAAAATCCTGGAGGATGTTGTGGTAAGAAGTTTGGTAATACCCAGACCTGGGAATTAGGACTGAGGTGGCAATCAGTTTCAGAATGCCTGTACCTGTGTTGCATTATGTATTTTGATAATCTCCAGTAAACACTGGCTGCCATTAGGTAAGAACTGCAACAGGTACGTCCTGTGCTCTGTGTTATGTTTTCCTGGCACTCGGCCTTGGGTAACTCCTTACTGGCTCTTCTGAACAGGGTGTTCCGGAGAAGAAAGAACTTCCTTGTACAGTCCCCAGGTCTCCAGCCTTCGCCTTGAAAAGCAGAACCCGTGTGTCTGGCAGAGAGGAAGAAAAGGTAACGATTGTGACTAGGCTGGAGCCAGGCCCAGGTCCCACCACAGTGCTTCTGGTTGTGGGTAGGATGCTCTGGGCTGGGGAGCCTCTGCCCTCCTGTGAGCAGTTCCTCCACTGGTCACCTTTGTCTGTGCCATTCTCTCAAAGCAATTTTGAGTTACTGCTACTCATTTTACAGAAACTGAATTCTCATATGAAGTGAAATTTAAACACAAGAGCACTGATGGGGGTTTCTGAAGTGTTGCTGCTATGAAGGAGGAAAGTGAACTGCTTAAATTTCTCAGGACATTGCCCTTCCCTATTCTGTCATGGAGGGCAGATATTGCCCATGACCCTTCTCCCCGAGGCAGGGAGCAGGATTCTGAATGCATCATGTGCTTTTTCCTTTCCCTCTTGTGAAGAGGACATTAAAGTCTAATTTGGATGAGTACTAGAAATGAGAGTGGTTTAGAAAGAGGAAGAACTGGCCTGTGGGTCAGGATGCCAGTAAGTAGGCACTTCTTGGATTGCTAATTTTTGCAGTGTCCAGTGTTTGCTTGACCCTGCTGTTCCCCTTATTAAAGGAGCTCATTCAGAGCTCTTCATGGCTTTGTTTGGCAGGAGTTGTGGTCTCTACAAAAATAAAAAATCGGATCCTAACACTAATATCCCTTTAGGAAAAGGAGGTGGTGCCTGTGATCAAAGCTAACCCTATGCCACATTACGGAGTGCCCTTCAAACCCAAAATGCCAGAGCAGAGGCACGTGGAAGTTTGCCCCTTCTCTTTTGATGCCCGGGACAAAGAGCGGCAAATACAAAAAGAGAAAAAAATAGAAGAATTTCAGAAGGAAGAGGTAAGAAGTGAAGCTGCCTTGGATTCCACTCCTTCAGTAAAAGGAGTGTGGCAGGATCTTGCTGTTGCCTGTTAAACATCCAAGGAAAGGACAAGAAATATTTCAAGTTGTTTGTTTCAGGTGCCGAAGTTCAAAGCGCAGCCTCTGCCTTACTTTGACCAAGTTAAACTGCCAGAAAAAAAGGTCAAAGCCCCAACCCAGCCTGAACCATTCCATCTGCAGGTGGATGAACGGGGAGCTGCCAAGCTCGAGAGCTGGAAACATCAGGTAGGATAAAAAGTATAATGGAAAAGACTGGACTTAAAGCAGCTGATGGAGTTGTAGTCAACTCTGAAAAGTGTCCTGCTTGAGTTGAATCAGGAGCTGAGTTTGAGCAATGAATTATTCTGTCCTTGTCACGAGAGTTGAGCTGTGGATTAAAGATTGGTGGATTGGGGTTATTTATTTTTCTCACTTTATGGTAAATCACTAGATTTACCACAGCTGCATGAACAGCCGTGGGGTGATTTCTAAGCAGCAACTCTGTGCAGCTGGATCCCTTTGCTGACCATCTCTCTGCTTGGGGATTTATTGACACATAAATAATATACTGCTTTTCTCGTGTGAAGTCTGCAGTGGACACCTGAAACTTTCTTCAAGCTATTTTTGGCAAAGTAACTATCAGGCAACAAGTGACACATCTTTCTGGCTTTAATATGATTTTCTATGGAAATGATTTGACTAAGTCAACCTAGCTCTTTCAGTTGTTGGGAGTGCTGGAGTCTGTGTCGGGGGTGATGCTCTCTTTATGCCTGACATTGATGTGCTTTCTTCTCCTGCAGCTCGAAGAAGACTTGAAAAGGCAGAAAGAGGCAGCATGTTTTAAAGCTCGTCCCAACACAGTGGTGTACCAGGAGCCTTTTGTGCCCAAAAAGGAACACAAACTACTATCAGGTGGAGTTACAAGTACTTGCTACACGGGCTTGGCGGGTAGCTCAGGACTGATGCAATTAAGTGGTGTTTTTTCTGGCTGTTGCCTCTTCTTCATCAGCACAGCCAATAGTGCCTTGCATTTAATCAACTAATTGCCTAACAGCTTGTGTCCCCTGGGAGCGGGCGGGTTTCCTCTCCCCCCCATCCTGCTCCAGCATGGCAGCTGTATTTAGCAGCTCTGCTGCAATTGGCAGATGATTGATGTCTGCCAGCTCAGGATAAGGGTACAGAGAATGTGAGGAGCTCCCTGCAGAGACAGCTGGCATTTCTGCAGAGCTGTCACTCTTTTCCTCCCATTTCTAATGAGATGAAGGCATCTACTGCTTGGGTAGACTGAGCTTTGTAGAGCATAAAACCAACCAAAAACTTGTTTGTACTAACAATTGTGTGCTTGCTCCCTCCCATGAGAACACCCGTGGCGGGGTGACGTCTGCATTAACACTGCTCACGTCTGGGAGCAAGGTTTTCTCTTTTCCTGAAGCCTGGAGGTATCTCCTAACCACCCTTGCCAAGGGGAAGCTCTCCAAAGGGAGGCTTCCGCTGACACTAGTACCTCTCTGCTTTACCTGACTGTCTTTGAACCTATGTTGTCTCCTCTGTTTCTAACTTAGAGAGCCTTTCTGGTTCTGTAGTTCCTGAAAGCTTTGAGCTGGCAACGGAAAGAAGGGCAAAGGAACGGCAAGAATTTGAAAAGCGATTGGCAGACGCAGAAGCTGTAAGGGAGAGGTATCAGGAGCAGATCAGGCAGGAACAAGAGGAGCGTGAAAAGGAAGAAGTTGCTAAGCTAAGGCAAGAAATGGTAAGTGAGCTGTTTCTGAGCAAGGGCTGTAAAGCAACCCGAAGGAATGTGGGAATATCCTCAAGGAGCTCATGTCACTGCTGAGCTGCATTAAGATTGTCTTTTCGAGGTTCCCTGTTGCAAACTAATTCCTCATTAACTTTAAAACTGCTTTAAAAACAAAAACCAAAACCTGCAAAATGACCCAAATAAAGAAGGCAGCTCTGCTGAGTGGCTGAGTTTTGGAGCTGTACATGTGTAGCTATCAGAGCAGAATGATCTTTGTAAAACCCACAACCCCAACATGTGCTGTGCATGTTCCCAGTGCCTGGGGCAGTGTGTTGGTCTCAGACACCTGCCTTCATCCCACCCATGGCTCACCTGCAAGTTTTAACTTCATCATAGCTGCAACCATTTGCTTCATTGTGTCCTTGATTATATTTATTTTTTTACAGGTTCACAAGGCAAACCCAATACGCAAATACCGCAGCGTAGAAGTGAAGCCCAGTGATCAGTTACTGACTTTGCCAAAGTCTCCCAACTTCTCAGATAGATTCCGGTGCTGATGAGCACCCACATGATATTAGGAGGGAGATCCCATCCCTCTCTACTCTCTTGATAGGAGAGAGGGAACAGTTGTTTTTCCGTGACTCTGCCTGAACTCCTACCCTTGGTTCCTTTGTACTGAATAGTTTAACTCCACCTGAGCCCATGGCATCCCACCTAACTAAATAAAGTTTCCTAATATGACGCTGTCTCTGGCTAGTGGGCTGAGGCCCTTTCCTGCAGAAGAGTTTTTGGTAAAGGCTGACTGTACAGATGTGTGCATCTGGCAGAGCTGCCTTGTCTTTGTACACTAAGTGTTGTTTTCAAGTGTCTGGTTTTTAGCCTTTTAATCTGTATTAAGCTTGAACTGTGTTAAATAATGTGAGGCTCCTGCAAGCCAGCGCAGTGCGGGTCAGACCTTTCTCATGATGTTTAGATGAACAATATAAGTCTTGCTCATGCTTTAAAGTAATTCTCTGTGTACATTAGAGCATTAAACCTTCTTGCTCTTTTATAGCTGAATCCCTTCTATTTGGGGAACAATTTAACTGACAAATGACTTGCTGCGAGCTGCTGCCCCAGCTCCTGCCAGTGCGGGTCTCTTGGCTACAGAGACATCAGTGTCTCTGGCCAGTCTGGGCAGCAAGCAGAGTTAAATATAGCCCAAGTGCTCAAATGTGCCAGAGAACAAAACTGCCAGCGTTGTGAAGTCGCATTTAGATTAAAAATTTAATAATTATTTCTTACCTTGGTATTGTGCTCTGATTTCTTACCTTTGTATCTTGCTGGTATACATGTGAGCAGGGCTGCTTGCTGCTGTTGTGCTGTTCAGAACAGAGGAAAAAAAGGAAAACTTAGAATTAATGTGTCCAGGTAGGACAAACTGTCTTGTTTGGGGGTTATGGCAAACACTTGCTTTCATTTCCTCTGAATTCAGATATTATTGGAGAAGTATTCTTAGAGTGTGGCCTTTTATTCAGATTTTTGGGTAGAGAAGAGAAGAAGCTCAAACTTGAGGTGTCAGACTCCAGCTGAGGGGATGGTTAGAGGTGCCATCTCATCCTTGCCAAAGAACATCAAGCAATTGCTGTTTTACTCCTAAACTGGGGGAGGTAACAGAGGGAGAAATTCCTCAGAGAGCTAAATTCCAAAATGAACATTTATTGTACCTGAGGGATTATGTTTCTGCAGGAATTCTAAAAAGTGTGATGCTCAAGGGATGCCATGGCAGAACAGCTGGAGTCTCTATGGGAATGTTTCAAAGAGCACCAGTCTCAAACTTCTCTGCTTGGATTAAAAGAGAAAAAGCCCCCCCTGCTGAAATATAAGGGTTCTTGAAAAAATTAAAGGTTTTTAGCAGTTAGTAACTAAGGAACTCTGGAGAACCAGAGGGCTGAGGAAATGTGTTGGTACTGAAGGATGAATGACTCTGGAGCAGTGTGGCCTCTTGGAAATGGTAAGCTCAGCTGTGGCTCCTTTTTGCTCAAGCTACACTTTTCCTTCCCTTGAGGATTTTTGTGCAGGTGTGGCAGAGCTGCACCTGAAAGGGTTGACCCAGTCACCCAGGATGCCTTCAGCCACATGTTTCTGACTTTGCTGGTAGCCCCATGTTGCTGAGCTCAGGGTTACAAGACAGCCAGAACAGCTCCTGTCACTGCTGCTGTGACAATTTACAGGATTGACTGGAGCAAGAGGGATGTGTCAGCATCCTCTTCTTGAAAACTAGGATCAGTGTGGATCTGGCCACTCTGCCTTAACCTCATTTCTGTTGCAGTGGAGCTGTTCCCTGCAATCTACTGGCCAGGGACATGGCTGAACTTCAGATGTGCAGTCAGGGAATCCTTGCTGCTTCCTCGAGTGCCAGCTCTGGAGCCAGCAGTGTGTGGGCAGCAGGAGCAGAAAATATTTATGATGAGTCAGGAGAAAGCTGGAATGATGATGAGCTGCTGAAGAATGTAAAGGCAAACAGGATAATGAGGCTATGGAGCTGGAGCAGCCAATGATCCCTTAAGGATGGACCAGCTGGATTTCCCTGATGGCCCTATATGGCCTTTGCTCCTGCCTTGAGGAAGGCATTGTGTGCCTGACAACTTAGCAGTTTTTTCCCCCAACGGTATCATTTGGGTCTAATAAAAGACATTACATCTTCCCCCAGACACGGCCTCTTGTATTCCCCAGGCACTACAAAGAGTGGAAGGAACCTCAGGCAGCTGTGCCTGCAAGGATCTGGGGTGTTGGGCTGAGCTGGAGTCACCCACCACGTTCCCACAGGCCGATGGGTGGGACCTGCCCCCTTAATTAGGAGGGAGGTGTTGACATGGTGAAAGAAGTGCTCTAGTGTAGAAAGTGTGTAAGAGATGGGTGTCCTGGAGGAGCTGGATGTTGCAGAGGATGGGGTTTGCTCAAGGCTTCATCAGGGAAAGGGGGGCAGGTGATTTTCCCAGTGTCAGGGAGAATAAAATTACAGGACTGGAGCAAGATTTAACTGAGTACTGTTCCAGCACCTAGCTTTAGAGTTGGGGTAGGTTGAGAAACTGATGTAAAATCTATATTCTCTCTGCATGGATTTTGCAAAAACATTCTTGTATTCCAGAACTCAAAACCCATAACCTTTATGTGCCTTCCTTGAGAGCAAGGAGTGGGAGGAGGGGAGGTGAGGAGAGCTGGATACAAAATCTTCCTCTGATGAATTTCTAGTTGAGCTGTACCCAAAATAATTTCTTATCGAAGTAATTTGCTGAACTCAGACTAGAGCTGTAACTAAAAGGCAATGTTTTCCTGGACTTTTATGTTGAATTGCAAGATCTGATTATCTAGTGAATAAAGTTTTTATGAAAAGGCTTGATGATGCTCTCAAATCACAGTTTTGCTTCTCCCTTCCCTCTCCACTAGGAAAACTTGTTGGCTGCCAGTGTGGCGAGGACCCTCTGCCTTGGGTATGTCCTGGTGCTTCAAGCCCACACTGGTGTTCCCTGGTACTGCCCACCAGCAGCTGCATTCCTGTCCTCAAGGTGCTGCCTAGCTCTGGGTGCCCTTCTCCTGCTGATGGGATTTTTCCTTGTCTTTCCCCGTCACCTTGATGGCACCTGTCATGGCACACTGGCAGCGCGTTGTGGAAGCCCTGGGCGCTGATGGAAGCAGTTAAACTGTGCCTGCCAGGCCCGACAGCCTGACTGGTTTGTGTTACAGTGGCATGGCTGGGATTCAGGTGGGGATGTTGTTCAGCCTGCCCTGCTGCTCGATTTAGCTGGGGTGTAGGGTTTCCCAGGGAACAGGCCGGCTTTGGCCCCTCAGAGCCTCCCTTCCTGTGGAAAGCATAAAGGTTAAAGTGTGCTGCTGCAGTTGTGACAACGGCGTCGCTAAGGAACAGCGTGCTTGAGGCACTGCCATATATCCCCAGGACAGGCTGTTTTCCAGCTGCAGCCAATGTAGGCTCTGGCTTAAATTCCTGAATGGGAAGGAAAAAAAAAAAAGCCAAGCCCAGGCTGAGAACCCTGGGTGGTGACTGGTTTGCAGAGAGATAGATCATTGTGCCGCTCCCTGGGGTGTGGGATTTTGGACCAAGGCATCCAAAATCCTGGGGTGTAACACCTCCTACTCTTCAATTCTACACTTCCTTCTGCTGAGGAGTCTGATTTCAGCTTATTTCCCTCTACCCACAAACGAATTTTGTCTGTAATAATGCCAAACCTGGTCACCAATGACCTTTGGAGAACCATTTCCATGGCCACCAGTGCCTGCTCCCAGGGCTTTGCTTCCTCAACTTGTCCCTAGCTTTCCTCTCCAGCCACCAACCTTGCTCCCAGGGAGCTTGTAAGATTGCAAGCATCCTGGGAAGGCTGGCTGGTGTCCAGGTGGGTGCTCCTCTCCTTGGAGAGGTTTTTTTATCCCAGCGTTCACTGCACCAACAGCTCGAGGGAGCTGTGGGGCACGGCTGTGGCACATAACTCCTGCCCTGTGCCTGTGGAGCGGCTGTGAGGATGTGCTCCTTCCACCCGGGGTTTGCCGGGAGGGTGCAGAGCCGAAGGCTGGCGGGGTGGTGGCAGTACGTGCCTGAAGTGACACTGGTGGCCACCAGGTGTCTGGCAACCCTCGGCCGGAGGAGGGCAATTCCAAACTGTACTTTGGCGATGACAGTCGGTGGGCAGAGTCCCTGCTGTCCAGGCACAGTTATTCCTTACAGTGTGCCTTGTGGAGGCTGAGGTGGGGGGGCTCATGTTCACCACGGGAATGGGCAGTGTGGGTGTCACAGCCCCCAAGAGCTGTGGGTGTGGTGATGCCCCAACCTCTGCGTGTACATGACTGCATCAGCACTGTGGGTTGGAGCTGTGCACCTGCTCCTGCATCATCCCTGCTGGTCCTCGTCACATTCCAGGTCCTGTCTTGGATTTTGGGAAAGGAACTGGGCTCAGTGAAGCAACAAATCCAAGCTGTGAAGGCTGGACCAGGAGAGCACTATGTCTGCTCAGGAGCCTCTGTCTGTGTCCCACTGAGCAAGTGTTGCTCTTGTATCAGGGTGGCAATGGTGGGTGCCTGAGGCCAGGGCAGGGACAGATGGGACAGCAGCACCTTTGGGACATGGGGACAGTCATGACTCCATCCTGACTTGTGTCACTCTCAATGCCACATGTGAACCACAGCTCCTCTGGCAAAGCCTGATCCTAGCCCATGGTTCACAGACGCTGCTGGCTCACTGGGAGCTGGGATTTGGCAATGTGGAGCAGCAGCACTGTCCCTTCCCCTGCCTGGCCAAGGTCACATCCTCCTGTGCTGCAGGCAAGGTAAGCACAGAGGACCAGCACCATCACCAGCTGCTTGCGGCCACCATCCCCATAGTTTGGCCAGTGGCTGCCTTGTGCCACCTGTGAGCACCTTGGAAGACCTTGGCCACCTGGACCCTGTCCAGATTGCCCAGGCCACACTCATGGGATGGTTTTGGGCTGCCACTGTGTCCAGTGCCAGCCCTCCCTGTGGTGCTGTGCTGGGGCAGGAGGAAGGTCCGTCCCCATCCCCTGCCCTGTGTCTGCGTGTCCCCAGCCCACGAGGGACAGGCGAGAGTGGCGTGTCCTTTGAACGGGCTCCAGCAGCAACAGGTGCTGGGAAAGGCGAAGCGGGACGGCTCCTGCTGCTGTAAAGGATCCTCCTCTGCCTGCACTAATCCAGCTCTGTTACACCAGGGATAGAAGAGGCTGCTCCCTCCGGCGCTGTCACAGTGCAGATGCTGCCCCTCTGACCGCCCGCTGCACCACGGCCCAGGTAAAGGGGCTGGGGGGTCTCTGTGGCCGCTCACTTGGGGTATGGTGGTGGGGAGTCCTGGGGATAGTGAAACCCCCAACCCTGGGAGGAACGCTTCCAACCCAATGGGCTCCCCATGCTCAGCTGTGGGACATGGGAATGCTGTCCCAGGGACTGCTCTAGTAAGACCGGCAAGCAACTTCCCTGTTACTGGGATGGTTGCATCTGGGTGGCTGCACAGGGTGGGTGTTTTAGGACAGGGTGAGGAGAGGTGACCGGGCAGGGAAAGGCAGCGAAGCCCAGGGCAGAGTGGAGATTTGGGGATCAGGTGTTGGGCTGGAGCCCCATGCAGATACATGGGCACCAACAGGTCCCCTTGGGGGACCTGGTTACCCCAGGGCAGGGGGATGAGCAGTGCTGGGGGCCCACATAGCCCCTGAACCGATGGGGTTTGCCTGCGTGGCTGTGTGGTTTGGGGGCCAGCAGTGTTGGGGCCGTGCTGGGAATGCTCACTTCTCCTGCTCCTCACCCACCAGCCTGGGGCTGGAGCCGCCATGGTGGGATGTGGCCTTAAATTGTCACCCTGGCCGCGCCGCGCTGGCTGTTCACACATCAGGGGCCCCAGGCACCCGGTGACAGGTGCCGGTGTCAGGCCATCGATCAGTCACCGTGGGGCAGATATCGGGGCACAATGGGACGGTGCCGGGACTGGTGGCTACGTGGGACTCCTGGCTC